TCATCGTACTTTCCAAATCTACCTGACACCCCTTTTGCACTTGCCAGAAGCCCATTCATAGTCAAAGTTGAAGATGTTTCTGAGACAGCACAAGAGGAGTTCGTTGAACTTATTATACAGTGATGCAGCGAGAACTGATTTCTCTACATTGCCAGTTACAAAATTCTGGATCAAGTGTTTGCAGTCATATCCTGTTCTGTCTGAGACTGTGTTGCACCTTCTTCCATTTCCAACAACATATCTTTGTGAAACAGGGTTTTCCAGCTTGTTGGTTATCAAGTCTAAATACAGAAGTAGACTTGTTGTGGAAGATGATCTTCGTTGTGCCTCTTGCAAAGACTGCCCCGAGAATTTCTGATCTGGTGAGAAAGAAGTAATCTCAACCTTCACATTGACGTTGGCTTTTTACGCTTACTGTCGCAAAATGTAGCAATGTAGTTTACTGTTGTTATGTTAAGACTGTTACCCATGCTACACCATGCTTCAAGACAAAATTTCATTTATTTGTAATTAGAAATAAATATTTCACAATATATAATTACATATTGTTTTTGTGATTAATCACTATGCTTTAATTATGTTCAATTTGTAACAATGAAAATACATCCTACATATCAGATATTTACATTATGATTCATAACAGTAGCAAAATTACAGTTACAGAATAGCAACGAAAATAATTTTATGATTGGGGGTCACCACAACATGAGGAACTGTATTAAGGGGTCGCAGCATTAGGAAGATTGAGACCCACTGTTCTACAGCATAGCACCTTACACAGAATCATGCCAAAAAGTATTTGCTGAATAAATATATTATTTCACTGTAACCAACAGCCCTTTGGTTCCCAGGGATTTACTCTTAACTTCTTTAGGAACTTTTGTAAACTCTCTATTAATCATTGGTACATTTTGAGAAAAAATTAATTTTGTCATGACAATGCCACTATTGGGCCTAAGGAGACTAATAAAGAAAAAGTATTGTAACAGAGGACAATAATAAAAACTGACCAAGTGACATGCTTTGGATTCAGCAAAGAAAAACTTTTTTCTACATGCCTTTCGTTTGTTATTGTTCCAAATCCATTCTGTTCCTAATGGTGACTCTCGAAAGTGCCAAACTGAACTGTGAAGTAAGCATTTGTAGATAACAATGGATCTAAAATCTGTTTTACTGAAGAAAAGAAGCATGTAAAACATAGTACATTAAAATGTGATTAAATATCTTATTCAGTTAGTTAAAATGAGAAATTGTCCTTAAGGAGTGTCACCTCATTGTATGCAGGTGGAGTTTTCTCTGGATACCATTCCCACAGGCCCTGAGAAGGGAATCTCCACTGGAGAATGTCTTGCCCACCGTGCTTTGGCACAGCTCCAGCCTGTCCTTCAGCAGAATGCGTGCCTTGTCCTTGTTAAAGGAGGCCTCATTTGCTTTCATGGCTTTAAAAGTCTTTCTGGTCATTTTGAAATAATTAAATTATAAATGGCATACTGTCATTATAAAGAGAGTGCTCCAAGGCCAAGAGGCAAGTGCTAAAAACTTAATATTTAATTTATATAGACGTATTATTTACTTCTTAAATAGATATTGATCAACACATTAAAATTGCAGTATTTTCCCATTCAAGAATATACCTTACTTAACTATAAAAGCTAAGGTTTTTCAGTATAATACCAAATATTTGGGGTTTTTTTGTAAGGTAAACTTGTTTGGTATACTTGAGAAGTATGACATATAATCTAGTCAGTTGTCAAGTGGTTTTATGCTTGAGGCCCACATTAAGGATTTCTTTTTTATTAGAGGTTAGTTGTCCCTTGCTCAGTACTTGGGGGTGGGGGCTGGGATGCTGTGGGGAGGGATAGAGGAGAGATGCAAAACGTAACTAATTGGTAGAGCAGTTGGACAGATTTTTAAAGTGTGAGATTTTTTTTTTCTCTATTGATATAAAACTTGGTATCAGGACTTTATAAAGACATTTAGTTTTTTGTTTTCATATCAAAATCTCAAGGAAATTGATTGACAGACGAAGCAGTAAGCTTGGGCACAGAAGAAATTTAAGAAAATGTTATTCCATATTAGCATTTTCTGCTGAACTTGAGGAATAAATACTTTTTTGTGATATGTGGGTTTTGTGTTTTTATGAACTGTTTAGGGAAGCTTTTCTGCTGAAATGGCTGAATATACGTTTCAAAGATTTAAACCCTTCCTTATATTAATGTTCCACCTCATTAACTTCATTGTTAGGGCTTTTACACTTCAGTGATTTAAATAAAATGATCTAAATGTAGTTCTTTGTCCTCTCTTTCCGTCTGTCTTCCTTTTGAGGTCTAGATGGTTATGTGTGTTTTCATTTAGATTCTATTGTTAATTCTGTTAAGCTCAAAATGATGATGAAGGGAAGCTATTGTATAACTAAACATCTTACCGCTGCTGAAGCCCTGACAGATAAGGAAATGTGTTTGTAAAGATAATAATCTGGTCACTTCTTCAACTGGTGTTTGATCATTTGTACCTTCAAGTGGTCTTCAGAGACCAGGACTTACTTCATAGCTGTAAAACTCCATTTTATTGTGAAGTTCAGATTGGTGATTACAGTTGACCCTTGAACAACATGGCGGGTAGGGGCACCAAACCCCGCTCAGTCAAAAATCCACGTATAACTTTTGACTCCCCCAAAGCTTAGCTACTAATAGCCTATTGTTGACTGGAAGCCTTACCGATAACATAAATGGCCAATTAACATATTTTAAGTGTTATATGTATTATATGCTATATTTTTACAATAAAGTAAGCTAGGGAAAAGAAAATGTTACTGAGAAAAGTATAAGGTAGAGAAAATACATTTGAAATGCTGTATGTATCTATATCTAGAAAAAAGTCCTCATGTGAGTGGACCTGCACAGTTCAAGACCATGTTGTCCTAGGTTCAAATGTAGATATAAGCTTTCATGTATATCCTCTGGTATTTATAGCCCTGGAACCCAAATAAGAGAGAACTTTGCTTAAAAGCAAGCTATGTTTGTCCTTAAAAATGTTTTCTAAGCATTTTCAGGAAAAGTAGGAATTATGCCATGAATTTCCAAGCAAAGTCACCTTTGCAAATATTTGTAACTGCTTGAAAATGGTAGACATATTTAGGCAGTAAGGTTTTTTTCTACATAATTTACTGCCAGATGTGAGTACTCCTTAGCAGTATATATCCCAAATGCATGTTATATGTCTTTGTTAAAAATGTAGAGAAAAATAAGTTAGTTTAAGAGTTCACCGGAATGAAGCTGTCATGTTGTCAGACATTTTGCATTAAAAAAATAGTTGATTACTAAGATATATTGGTAAATGATTTTATGAAGATTACTCTATATTTGACCATTTAAACAATAAATTTCATTTTACATAAGTTTAAGCATCGACTTGAGATACTGATGTTCATTTCTTACCATTTGTTTTATTTTCCAGCTCACCAGCGACTAGAACCAGCAACTCTGTCAGGGATTGTGGCGTTTATCCTTAGTCTTTTATGTGGAGCTCTCAATTTAATTCGAGGCTTTCATGCCATAGAAAGTCTCCTGCAGGTACTGTGCTATTTTTGCAATTTCAGGTGACTGTGTCTATTGATTCTGCTTGATACAGAATTGATTTGAATCGATTTGGGTATTAGTACAACTTACAACGTATGCTCGGATTCTGTATTCTTTATACCTGCCTTAGTTTCCCCTTTCCCCTTCCTTGAAAAACACTGATTTCAAAAAAAAAAAAAAGAAAAAAAAGACTCTACTGATTTCTAGTTTTAGTCTTTGGCTTCTTTGACTCAATTAGCACGTATGTATTTATTATCCACTCTGCAGGAGGCACTGTTTATGGGTACTCTGGGACACTAAGATATGTGTGACATGGGGCTGCAGTCTCAGAGCCAAGAGTTGAATCAGGGAGGCAAAGAAGCCCATGAAAAATTGCTAAGTATGCAGAATGCAGAAGAGAAATGGTCAGTGTGAGTCAGGAGGAGAAGGAGGCTATGTGGAGTTGGGGTGAGCTGGACTTGGAAGGATCTGAGAAGACAGAGGAGTGGAAGGAAGGAGAGAGCATTTATGGGCAGGTTTTTGTCCCGTCTCTGTGTATCCCTACTTAGTTTGCCCTGTTTCCTTTTTGGTTGGTGCCTACCTCTGAAACCACTAATTTCTTCAGATATCGCCAACTATTTTGTTTTCCAGTGGAGTTTCTTCCAGAGACTGTTGCTATCAAAATATATTAAAATTTTCTCTTATTTTTGTAAATTTTTTGAAACTTAAAGGTTAGCACATTTCAGACTGTACAGCTTTTCTTTCCCTTGTTTCTGTTCACTTTCTCTGAAGACTTTTGACACTTCCACATTGTAAATTAGTTCTCTTTTGTTGGGTCAGCATTAAACTCATAAAAAACCACTCAACACACTTTATATATTCTCTTGTAAAATTGCTGTTAGTTTGGGGAACACTCAGAGAGCACTATTCTGAGTACCTTCTGAATGTCCTCATGAATGTAGGAAGCCAATAGCTGAGGATATCACAGGTTCCAGGAGGCTGAGCTGCCCCTCAGTGGAGGGTGGGCAGGAGCATCTCAGGGCTTCCCAATTCCTCTTCCAAACATCCTGGGCCCGCAGGTAAAGCCCCTCTTCCCTTTCAGGCACAGGGCCGCTGGCTGTTGTCCCTTGGTGTTCTTGCCCTTGTTACCAAGCCAGGTCAGCTTTATTCCAGCAGGAGTTCAATTTGAAGCTGGTTAGTCAACCTGCCAAAAAGAAACAAAGGCAATTGGAGACTGCTGACTGAAAAGGCTAATAAATAAGATACTCTTTTGTTTTTTTGGTTTTTTTTTTTTAGCTTGATGTAGTGGAAAGAACAGTAGTATTAGGTGTGTGAAGAGTTGATTTTTGTTCATGTAAGAAAAAGAGAGAGGGTTGGCTGTAGCTCAGGTACTGATTAACTCTGTGACATTGAATAGCTCACCTTACTTTCTGATCCTCAGTTTCATTGCTCATCAAATGAAGGTTAAGGGGTGAATATGATGAGTATTTCTCAAAATATGGTACACATTTACCACTGGTTATACAATAGATGACTAGATAGAGGGTTGAAGATTTTTAATTTTAAGAATTACATATTTGATGTATATTAATATGTTTGGTAAGGGATATAAAACTTTCCTTTTAAAGTAAATTAATTTTAGTAAAAAGTCAACTTTATGAAATTTATTACATAAATAATGGTGTAATTAGTATTCAGAATTGGCAAAAATTGTGAAAGAGGCACTCTAAGGTTAAAATTCTCTGCTCAAAAAAATTATCTGGTTGTTTGAAAGTAGCAAATTTATAAATAGGGGGAGGGAGCAGACCTGGGTAGAGAAAAGCTTCTATGCCACAGAGCCTTACCGCCCCTGACTCAGTAGGCAATGCATAAGCTGTAGAGCCTGAGGCTTAGATCACATTACTTTTAAGTTAAAAATCAGTCAGTGCTGTCCTATATCACAAAACATGTTAAAGGAAATAATTTCTGTTGGCACTCAGATATCCTATTTCTCCTCTTTCTGGACTGATTGTTTCCTTAGATAGGAAAATAGTATAAACTACAGCCCTTCATGCTTTTGAGCTACTACACCTGTCCAGTGCCTGCCTTGATTCCTAAGAGTTTCATGTTCTCCCTCTGATCAATAATGTCTTTGCCTTATCACAGTTGTTTTTTAGGTTTCAGACAATACAGGGATACTTTGTTTTATTACAGTCCACAAATGTGTTTTTTACAAATTGAAGGCAATACCCTCCACCAGCAAAAAGATTACAACTTGTTTTATTATGATAATTTGTTATGGTGGTCTGGAACGACACCCACAATATCTTCCAGGTATGCTTGTACTCTGGTTAAAGTAATTACTACTTTATGTAACTGACTGAAAGCTCTGAGATTTCTCAGACATTACATGCCAATATCTCTCATGAACATAGATCCAAAAATCCCCAACAAAATATTAGCAAATGAAATCCAATGATGTATAAAAAGAATTATACGCCACAACCAAGTGGGATATACTGTAGATATGCAAGGCTGGTTCAACATTTGAAAATCAATGCAATCCATCACATCAACAGGCTAAAGAAGAAAAATCATGATCATATTAGTAGATGTAGAAAAATCATTTGAAAAAATCCAGCACCCATTCATGAACTCATAGGAAACTAGGAATAAAGGGGAAGGAACTTCCTCAACTTGGTAAAGAAATTCTACAGAAACCCTACAGCTAACATCATATTTGATGAGAAGCTAGATGCTTTCTCCACAAGATCAGGCACAAGACAAAGATGTCACCTCTCACCATTCCTATTCAACATTGTATTGGAAGACCTAGCTAACGCAATAAGACAAGAAAAGAAAGCAAAAGATACAGAGATTGGGAAGGAAGAAATGCAACTGTCTTTATTCACAGATGATATGATTGTCTGTAGAAAATCCCAAAGACTCAACTTCTGGAACTCATTAGTGATTAGCAAGGTCACAGGATCCAAAGTTAATACATAAAAGTCAGTTGCTTTCCTATATATCAGCAAGGAACAATTGAAATTTGAAATTAAAATAATATCTATATTGGCACCCCCAAAATCGAGGTACTTAAGAATAACCTAACAAAATATATACAAGATCTATATGAGGAAAACTATAGAACTCTGATAAAGAAATCAAAGGAGGTCTAAATAAAAGGAGAGATATTCCATGTTCATGATTAGGGTCAATATTGTTAACATGTTGGTTCTTCCCAACTTGATATATAGATTCAACACAATCCCAATAAAAATCCCAGCAAGTAATTTTGTGGATATTGACACAGTGATTTTAAAGTATATCTGGAGAGGCAAAAGACCCACAATAGCCAATGCAACACAGAAGAAAAAGAAAGAGGACCCACTACCCAACTTCCAGACTTATTATTAAGCTGTAATAATTAAGACAGTATGGTATTGGCAAAACAATAGACAAATAGATCAGTGGAACAGAGTAGAGAGCCCTCACAAATATAGTCAACTGATCTTTGACAAAGGAGCAAAAACAATTCAGTGGAGAAAGGATATTCTTTTCAACAAACAGTGTTGGAACAGCTGGACATTCACATACAAAAAAATGAACCTAGACACAGATCTTACACCTTTGACAAAAAAATTAACTCAAAATGGATCACAGACCTAAATGTAAGATATAAAACTATAAAACTTGGGCCGGCCGAGTGGCGCGATGGTTAAGAACTCGCTTGGGATGCCAGAGGGCCCCGGTTCGGATCCCACATATGAGGGCCAGTGACACTGCCCTCCGCAGCTAAGATGCTGAACAACAGCTCAACCTGGAGCTGGGCTGCCGTGAGTCGCCGGTGACGGCGTGGGCTGCAGTCCCTGTGGCAGTGGATTGCCATGGGCTACCGTGTGTGGCCAGCAGCCAGCGTGAGCGGCCAGCAGCCGCAGTGAGCGGCCGTCCAGAAGCCGGTGACTGATCTGCCTCGCCAGAGAAGAGCGCAATGATGGTGCCAACTTGGGCCAGTGAAGCAATGTCCTCCACAACTAGACTGAAGAACAAAACAACAGCAACTTGTCTGTTCCCCTTCCTCCCAATTCCCCAGCGCTGTTATCCCCCAATTCCCCAATAAAAATCTTAAAAAAAAAAATAGGACAAAATAACCTTTGGACTGGGACAAAAGCAACCTTGTGTCTCAAAAAACTGTTCACAAGGATAACGAGAAAATTAAAAAAAACAAAAACAAACTATAAAACTTATAAAAGATAACAGGAGAACACCAAGGTGACCTTGGGTTTGTTGATGGATTTTTAGATACAGCACCAAAAGCATGATCCATGAAAGGACAAATTGGTAAGTTAGACTTAATTTAAAAATCCTGCTCTGTGAAGGATGTTAAGAGAATGAAAAGATAAGCCACAGATTAGGAGAAAACATTTGCAGAATATGTCTGACAAAGAGATTGTATCCAAAACATACAAAGAACTCTCAAAAAACACAAAAACAAACAACCCAATTAAAAAATGGGCAAAAGAACTGAACAGACACCTCACCAAACAAGACATGCAGGTGGCAAGCATATGAAAAGATGCTCAACATCATGTATCATTAAGGAAGTGCAATTAAAATAATAAAATATCTCTAAACATATATTAGAATGGAAAAATCCAAAAAACTGACAATACCAAATACTGATAAGGATATGGAACAATAGGAACTCTTCGTTCATTGCTGGTGGGAATGCATAATGGTGCAGTCACTTTAAAAGACAGTTTCGCTGTTTCTCACAAAGCTAAACATGACTTTAACATATGATCCAGCAATCATGCTCCTAGGTATATTTACCCAAATGAGTAGAAAAACTTATGTCCACACAGAAACCTGTACATGAATGTTTATCTCATCTTTATTCATAATTTCAGAAAACTGGAAGCAACTAAGATGTCCTTCAAACGGTGAATGGATAAACTGTGGTAGTCTGTACAATGGAATATTATTCAGTAATGAAAAGAAATGAGCTATCAAACCACAAAAAGACATGGCTAAAC